AAAAAAGCAAGGTAATGTCGTTGTTGCTAACCTCTGCCTTCCTCTGCTACGCGCAAGGGATCGCAGATACCGTACTGCGTACGGTCTCATCATCCCGTTCCATCCGCAAGAGCCACAGCGACCGGATGATGGCGCAATGGACACGGTGACCTCGATCTCTATGGCGCATCATGAGAGCTCATGCGCCCTCCCGGCGCACTGCGCTCTCTCTCTGTCTCTTCTCTCCCTCCCTCACTTCGTCTCTCGCTCCTCCTCCCTCCTCTTCATAGGATCTCAAGCATCCTCAGAACGCTCACCCGAGGGAGTACGTGGAACGAAAAGAGCATCTCCTGCAGGTGCTGAATCCTGACCCTCCCTCCCTTCCTCCCTCCCTTCCTGCCTGCCTGCCTGCCTGCCTGCCTGCCTGCCTGTCTGCCTGCCTGCATCTTGTCATCTGTCTTGTGATTCCCTCGGCTTGTTGGTCGTCATCGCCATGGCGTCACAGGCCTCGAGCCGCATGCTCTTCAAGTCTCGCGCTGGGGTCACGGGGCCTCTGGGCTTGTCGGAGGTGAGGGGAGGGCGAGGCGACATGGAGTGAAAGATGAGCAGGAGCCGGAGATCATCGACTGAAGGAAGAAAGGAGGAGGGAGTAGCGTCTGATCATATTGTCACATTGGTTAACAAGCCTGTAAACTTGGATTTCTCCTGCACAAGCATCACATGATATTCTCCTCGTCTCTTCACCTCCCTTACCTCCTTGCTGACTTCATTGCCTCGCAAGTCAAGCGACCGCATCCTCGGAAAGCTGCAGGAACGCAGGCTAAGCATCAGCCACACGAGGAGGGGTAGAGGACCTCTGAGCGTGAAGGAGGAAGGCGTGGAGAGATTGAGAGCTGAGGCTGTTGATGCGAAGATCCACATGCTCCAGCGACCGAGAGCCCGAGGAGCTTCTGAGCGAGGAAAGAGGTGAGGAGTTTGATCATGAAGATGAGATGGGAAGGGAAGCATAGGAGGAGGAGGAGGAGGAGGAGGAGGAGAGAGGAAAGGAGAGGAGGGGGAGACAAAAAGATTTCTGACATCATCGCTTGCATGAAATGCTCCATCCCCTCGTCGCCAATGAAATTCTCTGAGAGATCAATAGATCGCAGCGAGCCATTTTCCTCTCCCTCCTTCTCCCTCCCCCGCTCCTCTTCTTTCACATGACCCTGCTGCTGCTGCTGCTGCTGCTGCCTCTCCTCGTCCTCCTCGTCCTCCCCTTCTTCTTGTTCACGCTCCTCATTCTGACTTGCGCCCTCGATTTCTCCTTCCCTGCTCATACTCGCAGCGAGTAGATGGAGGCCTGAGAAAAACATAAACCCCAGAAAGGCAAGGGAGAAGAGAGAAAGGATGAAGAGGAAGGAGAGGAGGGAGGAGGAAGAGGAGGGAGGAGGAAGAGGAGGGAGAGGAGGGAGAGGAGGGAGGAGGGAGAGGAGGGAGACGAGGGAGGAGGGAGGAGGGAGGAGGAGGGAGAGGAGAAGGAGGAAGGTGGGAGGGAGAAGGTTCAGTTGCC